CAGAAGAGGGTGGAACCAAGGCCCCAAGCAGGCAGTAGGGCCCAAGGAAGTCAGCAATGCCCCTCCCAGCCTCAGCCTCAGCCTCCAGAGCTGATCCTGCCAGCCACTCTCCACTAACTGGGCCCATTCCTTGGGTGGGGTGGGGTGGGGTGGGGTGGGGGACAGGCCGGGCACGTGGGGCGTGGGGCTGCAGAGATGAAACCCAGCTCTCCAGAGGCCAGTGGTCTGTAGAAAACCCCCGGGACCCCCAACACCCGCTGGCAGCCCGTTCCCGACACCTCCAGCCCCACAGGTGCCGTCCCGAGGGCCTCACCTCTCAGCAAGTCCGAGAGCGGGGGGCCGCAGTCACCCGGGATCGTGTAGTCTCCCTTCCCGATGTTCTCAAACAACTTGTAGATGTTGTCCCCCTCGAATGGGTACAGGCCTGTCGTGATGTTATAGCTTCGCCCCCAAGGGGAAGGAGAGAGGCCCGGTCAGTTGGGGCCTCTCCTGCAGCCCCAGCCTGGGACCAGCCTGGCACAGGAGCCTTAAACCACCCTCACCTGTAGGGCCTCACACTGGGTGACGGGAATGCTCTGGAATAGGTGGTGGTGGTGGCGGCAGCACCACTCTGAAAACACCAGAAACCACTGCACTGGACCCCTTAAAAGGGTGGCTCTGACAGCGCAGGAGTGATCTCTCAACAAAATAAAACGAAACAGGGGAGCCCGGGGGGCTCAGTCGTTTAAAGGTCCCACTCCTGATTTTGGCTCAGGTCGTGGTCTCACGGTTCGGGGGACTGAGCGCCGCGTCAGGCTTTGCACGGACAGTGGGGGCCTGCTTGGGACTCGCTCTTTCCCTCTCTCTCTCTCTCTCTCTCCCTCTGCCCCTCTGCTCTCACTCCCTCAAAAACAGATAAATACTTAAAAAACAAAAATAAAACGAAATGAAACACCCATGTCGGCCAGCAGCCGCCCTGCAAGAGGCAGGAGGGAAGGTTCTGGAAAGTTAGGGCCTGCCCTCTGTGGCAGGCACCACGCTGACCGCTGCTCACGCAGAAGTGCTCGGGGATGTGCCCCGAGGGACGGACGAGCAGAACTGGGGGACACGGTCTGAGACTCCTCCGGGGTGACGGCGTAGAGTCAGGACAGAAACACTTGCTTCGAGACAACAGCAGTGGCCCTGGGGTGTGAACCGGGGCAAACGTACCAGTACGAGCCCTCACGACCGAGGAGGAAGGCCCGGCCGTGTGCACCCCCACACGGCTAATCCCGAGGACCCCACAAGGCGGGGAGCGGCCCCCTCTGCTCCTACCCACAGGGGGCTTCTCATCTCGGCACACGGTTTCTCTGGCACTCTGGCCACCCGGCACAGCCCGGGAACGGTGTCTGGGGGACACGCTAGGAGGGGCGGTTCTAGAGGCCTGAAGCCCAAACAGGCCTGAGTCCTTGGTGGGCACAGGAGGGGCCCCTGGCGGGGGTGAAGCAGGGGGACCGAGGCCCACGGGCACTTACAGAGTAACCCCAGCCGACCAGATGTCCACCTTAAAGCCAGAGAAGGTGTCCAGGCCGTTGGCGATCTCAGGGGGCTGGAACGCTGGGGAGCCCTGGCTCGTCCGGCACGTGTCGTCCTCGGCAAAGGGGTGCAGGGCCTGCAGCATCGCCAGGTGGGCCTCAGGGAGCAGCCCCCGCGGGAGCGCCCCCTCCCGCCCCCCGGGGCGCCAAGGGAGGCGCACCAACCTCGGCCACACCCAGGTCGGAGATCTTGAGGGTGCCGCCTGTGGTGAGCAGCAGGTTGCCTGGCTTGATGTCCTTGTGCACAATGCCCTGGCTGTGCAGGTACTCTAGGCCGTCCACCAGCTGGCAGAAGTACCTGGGGGGACATGACTTCTGTGACCTGCCCCACCAGGAACCTCGATCCTGCCCCCCGGGTCCCCCTCGGCACCAGGAGTGACCCCGCGGCACCAGAGACATCGGGGCCGCGCAAACAGAAAGGACAGGACGGGTGGCCCAGCAGGGAACCAGAGGGACGCAGACCAATCTGAGCCATTCCTGGTCCCACCTGGGGAAGGCAAGGAGGGCTCCCTGGCCCCCGCTGCCGCCCCACTCCAGGCAGCCCTTCTCTGCGCTCCCCATCGGCCCAAGGGCCGTGCTGTGTCCCCACAATCACTCTGCCTGGACGTGACCACATGGCCCTAAAGGGGCCCCTTGGGGCCAGGGACCCAGGCTCACTCTGCCAGCTTCCGGTTCCCTCACGACACAGGCCGGCAGCGGGGCTGGAGCGGTGTGACTCCCCAGGAGGGCCAGCTGACCCGTGGCAGTTCGGGTCACTGTCCTCGGCCTTTCAAGGACCAGGAGGTCCCAGAGTCTCAGGCAGCAAGCCCACCGGGGTCAGCAGACACAGCCGCTGGGCCGGGCAGGCTGCAAACTGGGCCCCCGAAGCTGGGCTTTAAAACACACTGGAGCGTTCATCTCGCTGGTGATCAGAAAAACTCGTCTGGACGCGGGACGGGCCCGAGTGTGGGTGACCCCACGGGAGGGGGGAGCCACGGGCCCCCGCGGCAAGCACTCACCCGTGGGCCTGGCACACGGGGAAGCGCTTCTCGGGCACGCTGTCCAGCATCTCCTGCATGCCGCACACGCAGTACTCCATCACCATATACGTGCGGGGCTAAGGAAACCATGGGCTGACAGGGACCCCCACCCCAGGCAGGGCCTGCCCCCTGGGAACAGCCAGCCAGACGCTCGTGGGAAGGGTTTGGGGGAGAAGACCGCAACCGCGCCTGATGGCCGCATCAACACAGACAAGCGGTAGTGCGCCGAGACCACGACAAAGACCAGAGAGATTACAGAGCCCGTAGGGCGCCTCTGCCCCTCCGCTGACCTCCCCAGGGTCAACTTGTAGAGGTCTGTGGTCGCCTAGTCTGGGCTCAGTCCTCCGGCCCACGAGAAGCTCTCAACACCCTGAGGGGCTCCCGCCCCACACCAAGAAGAGACAAAGCTTGCGGGGCAGGAGGGAGGGGCGGGGTGGGCAGAGGGGAGGGAAGCCTGGGGGCCGCCAGGCCAGGCCGGAAGCGGCTGTGTCTCAGGCCAGCAGGAGAGAAGGGCGAGGCCCCCGCCACATCTCCCCCAGAGGTGGCCCTGAGTGCACCATGCTGGAGAGGAGCCACGTGCTGGAAAGCCCACCACTCTGTGCCCAGCACGTCAGTGACAGACGCCTTTGTGGAAAGACATCAGTCCCTTGGCTAGACCTGACCCCCCCGCCCCCCGCCGCCCCCTAGAGCTGGAGCCGGCGGGGGCCACACCGCCCTGAAGACACAGGGCCCGCCCCCAGAGAGAAAAGGGCAGAGCCAAGGACCGTCCCAGTGAAGCGCCCCTGCAGTGACACTCCCCGCCCCACCCCACGTTCTACCCTAAACAGAGCGGCCGTGCAGGTCAAGGTGCGGCCAGAATGCCAGACGCAAGGAGAGCGCCCTCCACGAGGCCCCCCGGACTTAGGGGTGGGGCCTGGGACCCTGTACTCCCAGCCCAGGGCACAGAGCGAAGGGAGGGCACAGCACCCACACAAGCGAAGATCGGAAGACACCCTGCGGACCTGGCAGGCGGCACTAGCCGGACAAGGCCGCCCTCGGGCTGGTGCTGCCTCGGCAGACCCCCGGGGTTTG